CACCCCAGCATCTACATGAAGATACTCGGTTTTGAGTCAAGGGCATGAATCACCAGCTCTCATATTTACATGGCTCCTGCCTGCGGCCTGAGGGCACGGTCGTTTTTCTCTGCAACCAAACAAGGTAAATAAATGTGATATATTGGCACATCAGCCCAGCACTCTGCATATGGTGCACATTAAGGTTGTATTCATTTGCCATATGAATATAATTCCTTTTACCACATCTACTATTAGGTTCCAGCAGTAAATACAGAGATGTTTTGCTGCAGCTCGAGGGCCTGCATTACATCATGGCGCACTAAGCATCCCAGGCCTTCTGGACAATTTCATAGACATACTTTTCATGTCACCTGAACTTGAACATGGCCAACCCGGGGTTTCAAAACCCTACTTGATGAATTCTTCAGGGGATCAGGAAAAATACAGGCTAGTCTCGGTGTGGTAGGGCTGGAAGGGGCAGCTCCTGACCAGACACAACTTTGACATCCCAATTGAAAAGATGAAATATCAACCGGACAGGTTCCTCTCACTGTAGCTAACTGAAGAGCTGCAATCAAAAGGGTGACGAGTTTCCCTCATGACGAGCTCCTGTGCTTCGTTTTATTAGGCATAAACTGTGCTCACATTGTCCTTAAAATTATAGTAAAATGAAAATGCCCTTATTGTAGCAAAGTTCCAAACGCAAGTTAGGACAGGGGAAAAAGAAAGGCAAATGATTTCTTTTTGAAGATTCATATGGTCCAATACTAACGTGCACATCTTGACATGTGTGAGCAATACGTAATAGATCACAGGTAAGTAAAAGCCAAAGTCTTCCCAAGGCCTCGCATTCATTTTTGCCAACAGGAAGTCCCCAGATGCATCCAGCAGATGGCGCTCTAGGACACCTGCGCACAGGGAGTGACACACTGCATTTACCTACGCTTAGGCAAGACAAAGAATATGGATTTATCAGTGGCTTCAGCAAACCATATTAGGCTTTACGATAAAAGAAGACATAATTCCTAAATATGTGCGCAGAAATGTACATACGCATTAGCATATGCGCACCAAGGCAACTAGTAAATAATTCACACCTGGACATATTATGATAGCACTTTTCTTAGAGACCTGATGAGTGGTCTATGAGTGGATGAGTGCTATTTATGGTCGTCCTGCAAGATCATTCTAAATTCATTAAAAAAAAAATTTAGAATGCCTTAAAGTTGGAATTCATTTTTAATTATAGCAGGAATGTCTCATTAGGGTGATACTAGTAAAATTAACAACGGTAGGATTTACGGTAATGACTCCTGTGATTGATGAGAGTATAACAAAATGAAGTTTTAGACAGAGAAAAAACAGAGCAGCTACGGCATACAGTACTTTAAAACAAACAGCCCTGCGGTTGGTTAGTGCTGGCCTCATGGTTAATAAAACCTTCTTTCTAATTAACGGTGCTGAAATATTCTTAAAGAACAGAATCTTGTTGTTATGAAAAAAAAAAACCTTGAACCATTCAAGGTTTTTTTTTTTTTTAGTCGACTCCATTCCCCTAAAGGAGAGAGCTGACATAGATTAGCATGTCTGATTGCAGAGGAAAAAACTGCCACCTTTCAATCAAATCAAAACCAGACCAGGAACATGGAAAACTACTGCAACAGCACACACACAAAGCCACGCGACACCCTGGCGGCAGCGACTTTCGCGTCTCGGGCTCATCAGTGGCTTACAAAAATGCTCAAATTCCCTATGTACACAAGCATTTTTTTTTAAAGCCAAGTTTATGATTTATGAATGCAAAAATACTGTTCAAAAAACTGATTTGCATGTTTTCATCTTATCTAAATACGATGTCAAGTTTACAGTACACAGTGACCAACTCGATGCACGGGGGAGCCTTGCCTGTAAGCTCTGGAACCGTGCGATGTGCAGCGTGTCACCCTGCAGGGGCAGTGAGCATGCCCGGGACGGCACGGTGCCAGACAAGCATCAGCCTCAAGCAACCAGGGACCCAGGGTCCAGGTTGCTGCTCCACTCCACAACGGAAGCCGATTTCACAGGAGACGGCCACCACGAGACAATGGAGTGGGGACATGAGCTTGTGGCCCTGCAATCTAGATTATTTTCTTAAAACACCTGCCCCTTTCACAAAGTCCCAAAACATACTTCATCCGATTCGAATCAGCTTGATTTTTTCTCCATCAATTAATATTGGGTATCATGTTAGACATCAGTTACGCAGAGATCAATTCTACCTATGCTGCGAGAGAAAATGGTGTAAGTGGACATATATGGCTAGCAGGGAAAATTTCTACTAATTCCCACAGCTTCGTAAATTAAAAAAAAAAATACCTTAATGAGACCGACAAAATACAGAAAACACAATAACCTATGTTTGTTTGTTTGTTTTTCATTTACCAATTTTGCTTTCAGGAAACGAAGTCTGGGGCGCTGTGTGCATGAACGGATGATAACACAGCCACTGGTGTCCGCAAGCCACCTAGGACGCAGGGCAGGACCATGGCCTGCACGCCCTCCCCTACAGGGCTCTGAGCCGCTGCCTCCCGCACGCCGGAGCCCTCCGAGAAGCAGAGCCAGAGCCGGGACTTAGAAAATCCAAACCAGCCTGCGGGAATGTTTACAGCAGTTTACACACAGAAAAAAAAAAAAAAAAGGTGGGGGTGGGGGGAGCTGTCTTTGTGTTTTCTTTTGAAAAGCTCCGAGGAGCTTTCGGGTTCTTCTAACGTGTGTGAAGGCTCCTGCTATGCAAAAGGGCTTCTCGGTCCTTCTCTCACATGCATCCTTCGGAACTGAGCAGATGGTAACAAAACCCACGCCCAAAGGATGGGGTTCGCTTTGAGAAAGGTAATTCAGTGCAGCCAAGCTATATTACAATTTTTGAAAAATTATATGAAATATACTGGGAGGTTTGTGGGGGGGTTTTTGTTGTTTTATTTTGGTCTTTTTATCAGCATTCTGTGGAGTTACCGTCTGCCATGCTCCAGACAATAAGAGGGTACGGATGATGATGTGATTATGGAAAATACAGCATGACCACACATGCTCGAAGGCCAACGACATGCTGTTTGTGGCATGATTTATCTGCTCTGCCAACACCTGAAGTCTCTGTCCGTGCCCCCCTCTGCAGACCAGACACGAGGCCGCAGCGAGGCCCGCCACTCGGGTTTTGTTTTCACTACAAACCCTGGGATTTGGTCAATCCTACTTGATTTGTTTTATTAAAGGATATGAATGTAAAAACCAGCTCCGGGGCAATTTATTAGGTGCTTAAACATAGAAAAACAAATACACACATGGGTCATTATATGGACGTAAAATGCTTTCTTCTGGAAAAGCTAAAAATCTCTAACTTTAAAATAGACTCAGGTTTCTGAAATGCGCCAGTTCACACGTAGAAGCATGGTGGACAGGCTGGTGGCTCCGTCATGGAGTCCGCGCTGGCGATGGCGGGAGCAGAATACACAGAACATGAGTGAGCCGAAGCACAAAACAGGAAACGTATGTGTGTGTCCTTTCTTGTCTAAGTGCATCTTTCTTTAAGATAAGAAAAAATTCTTCCTACCGGTTCGGGGTAAGAGTAGGTACATTAGCTATGCAAATCTCGGTTTCTCTCAGGTAATCTAGAGATTTTCCTAATCAGGTTCATAGAAAGAGGGAAAAAAAAAAGAAATTGAAAGTAGTCACTCAGAATGGGAGAACCCGGGGGCAGAGCGCTGGAGGCGGTTTCAAAGGAACGAGAGAAAGAAAAGGTCTGCAACTTTTCTTCTCCGTATTTACAGAATCCGTGAACTGCACATGGGGGGAGTCCCTCCGTGCACGGATCTGCTCTGACCCCAAAGACGATGCTCACCACCGCACCCCAGCCCTGACATGCTTCTCCCACACTCTGTGGACGCAGGTAGCCGTTTCTGTTGGGTTAACGCCACGCGTGTCCTAGAGGTCCTCTGACCTCCACCTACTCCTCATTGCCAAGCAGGGGAAGAAATGCTAGTTTACTTTCCAAAACGGTGCACGAACTGGATTTTTTTTTTTAATGCTTTTACGTTCACACCAATATTGCACATTCAGGCACGGCTCTGAGGAAGTCAAAAATATCCTGAGCTGAATGTGTTCTGGCTCTTATCATTCAGGCTTGAGGAGGCCCAAGTAGGACCCACGCTGTTCAGGTAAAGTAACAGCCCAATCTTTCCCGCACCAGGTCCACCGCGACTTGCTACACTGAGAAACGGTAAGCATTTAGGAGCAGCTCTAATGCTGCGCCTTATGCAGGAAGAATCCGAAGCTGTTTTTGCAGAAACTCCTCAGTATTGTCATAATCATTTTAATTAAATTCTCATTTTTCAGGTGGTCCCTTTAATTGTTTTTTTCCTACTTCTTAATGTGTTTTTCTAAAGCCATTTCTTTTCTGCAGCTGTGTGCGATTGCTTTTAATGGTGGCTGCTTCCTTGCTTTGCCTTCTGTGAATTACAATTTTAAATGGTTACACATTTTTTTTTGTTTTACTGCCTCCAACATAGTTTCATAAAGATGTTTAAGGCTGTTGGTGAACATTTTCATTTCCCATCTGAAAAACTAAGAAATATTTTGAGTATTCCATATTGGCCTTTATAACCTATTTTATCTTTTAATATGAAAACGAAGCGTCATTTTCATAAAAACCAGTTTGTTTCTATAAAATTAGAATTTTTACTTTGCACTCTGAAAACATGAATTTGACGGAGAAAATAATTCGTGACTACTTTTTTTTGTATCTTACTGTTGTCATTTCCACTGCAGAACTAGCGCTTTTTGATCATAAAAACCTCCAGCCCAAAAAGCGAGACTTGAATTACTGGTGGCCGCAAGCACGTGAATAACGAGGCCAGATAAACCATTCTTAAATCACACCTGAGAAATCATTTCTAATTCAGTTCCACTCTCACCATTATGCAAAAGCAACTTGACTGTGAAATGTCATGCTGTAAAAGTTGACTTGGAAAAGACGTCGTACTTACTGCCTGGGTTATCTCCAATGCCACTGCTTTTTCCATTCCAGAACCACAGCAGAAGGGTGGCGTCACGTGACCCTGAGAGGACATAGCAGTTCCCCCCGATGTAGGACTCAGAACGGGCCAGGCACGTGACCACATCCCAATGGCCAAACACCACCTGGATCAGCTTTCCTGAAATACAAAGCGATGTTTTAACAGTTACTATTAATAACACACACACACATACACACACACACACACACACCCCTGCAGGGAACTGGCAACTTACAAGACAATGACACCAGCGTCATTCGGATGCCAGCAATTCAGACTTTTATAACAATTTGAACTGGTCCACTCTAAAAGGTTTGTTTGCCAGCTAACACAAACAACAGCAAAAATCAACAGTGGTAACACTTTTGATGGACATACGGGAAGACTATTTTAGTGAAAAATATTGGAGGATGAAGATGCCACGCTGATACATTGGAAATGAATCATATTTGCAGATGAAAGCAAGGGCAAGAGAGTCCTTATTCAAAAGCATTTTCAGACTTTGTTTTCACAATAAAACATGGTTACCTTCCTGTGAACGTCTTCCATCATTTGGACTGTGTGAATACAGACCTGCCACTAAACGAGGGAGGACTTCCCAGGTTCTTTTTTTCTTAAGCCAAGGACAGCATACGTCACTGCGAGGGGCTTCTGCTGTTTGAAATCAGGGCTGTGACTGCGAGTTGACAGGGCTATATTCTCTCTTTGTTTTAATTGGTGGGATGATGAAAATCCCTTTGAGGGTAATGGAGAAATCAAGGTAATGGCAGAAGACGGTGGAGAGGAACCTGGTGAACCCACTAAGTGTCTGAGGCTTCTAACACAACAGACGTTGTTGGCATAAAGGTACCAGGAAACACTGTTTAATCCGAGCCGGTAGGTACCATTCCCACCAACCAGCCCTGACAACTGAGTCTGCAGCAGCCTCTTCATCCCACCCCAGGGCTCAGCTGGCATTCCCCAAAGGGCTTATCTTCATACACCATGGCTTTTTTTCCCTCTCTCTTGCTGGGTGTTTCAGGGGAGTCATAAAAATAAAACTCAAATCTTCAAGAGAAAAAAAAAAGACTCCTAAGCTTATATACATATAACATAAAATATGCCTAAAAAGCTTACGTATTTAGCTTGGCATAAACGCTAAACTATTCAGAATCAAGGTCTCAGCTAAGTACTGGTTTCCAAGTGTATTTACTTATATACACACACATGCATTATGTGTGCACATATACACCTATATATTATGTACATACATATGTACATGTGTGTATTTTGTGTGGATACATACACATAATGTACACATGTATACACACACACGGAAGGGTGACAAAGACAAGTTTCTCTGTCAATTCACTCCTCAAATCTCACATCCCCACGACAGGCAGGGCAGGGCCAGGCAGAGGCCGGAAGGCAGGAACTCCACCTGGGCCTCCCACGTGGTGTCAGGAGCCCACGGCCCTAGGCCGTCCTCGGTGGCCCCCCCAGCACGTTAGCAGGACGGAGGCCAGAAGCAGAGGCCGAACTAGACCGCAGGCACGATGCTACGGGAGGCGGGCAGGCTGTGTGTGGGCGCGATGCTACGGGAGGCGGGCAGGCTGTGTGCGGGCGCGATGCTACAGGAGGCGGGCAGGCTGTGTGCGGGCGCGATGCTACGGGAGGCGGGCAGGCTGTGTGCTGTTTAACTTGTGCCATGCTGCCTGCCCGTACTTTCAAAATCCGGATGGAAAGTCAGATACATGTTTTCATTCAAGAGTGGAAATTTTTGCACATAACCTGCTCAGTTTCAAATCAAGAAATTAATGAAGTCTATTTTTCCCCACTGCAGGGGTAGGGGCGGATGGGAAGGACCGGAAGCTTCCGTGAGAGCAGGTAACTGCATTAAAATCCAAAGCGTTCCTTCTGAGTTTCTGCAGCCTTTTACACTGACAGCAAAGCCTTCCATTTGGCTTATATAAATAAAAGTTATAGTAAGAAGCAGTCAAGATTTTTTTTAAACAAATTAAATAGAAAACTAAATATGAAGGCTTTAATAGTTTTCATTTCTAACCTATATGAAGATCTAAGCGGACAGGCTTAGTGATAAAATGAGTGGCTGCAGACTACAGGCAGATCTTACATACGAAGGTGCTTTAGCAAGTTCATGCAGGATGGAGCTGAAAGCTATTTATTTTGGGGCCAAAATCCTTGAAACGTGTGCACTGTTTCTCATGATTATGCGTTTTCCATAAACTTTCTGAAGACCGCGCCTAGGACAACGGCAGGCCTTGCGCACACGGCCGAGGCTGCCCAAGCACGCGGCTCCCTTGGGAATTCACCCTGCCACGCTGGGGAGGACAAGGTGGCAGGAATCAGCTGAGTGCGCAGGTCCGAGGGTGGGGGCAGACACTGCAGCCTCTGTGCCGACTCTCATTACTGTGTGTGATCTCCACTGTCGAGTGGAAGGAAAATGCATGCTCAGCCACCGTGGCTCCTTGGGAAACTGACGTTTCCTTGCGTTCTAATTTTTGCTCCCAAGGCAATCACAATTATTTTCATCAGCAAAACGTTGACTGACCATTTACTAAGCGCCAGACGTTAAGTCTTCTTACACGTGTGTATACAGCAGTGAACCGAAAGACCCGATTCCTATCCTCCGAGGGTTGACTGTCTGGGGTGCCAGACAGACATTAAACAAACACAAACATTTACAAGTAGGAACCCTGATAAGTCGTGTAGGACCAGTGGGGTGGGGGGAGGCAGCACCAGTGTAAGTTGAGATCAGACACAGGTCTAGGGGCGAGAGTGGTATTTAAAATAGCCATATGGAAAGAGGAGGCTTTCATATTTTAACAGGAACTTTTTCATTTTTGCCATGTTTTACCATGTTTCTGACATGTTTCATTTACACATTTAAATGAACTTCATTCTCCACAATTTAATCTTTGGCCACGACTCTGGCAAACATTATTTTCTCGACCGTTTGCTTTCTCCTGCTCCGTCAGACTTCCTTGGCAATATTTGTTCTTGCTACGAGGCCGGGGTTCACTCCTCCAAAATCAATCACACCCCAGAAATACCTGCTGCTCTTTTTGGTGAATGATTTTCTGATAATCTCATAAGTGTTCTTCAACCTTTATTTTTCGCTTCCTTTCATGCCGGTCTGCCTCTCCACACACTAATATCAAATATTACCAACACTAGAATATCCTTTCTTCAACAGAACACATTTTCCAGTTAATGTTTTATTGGACAGCTGCGCTACAAATAAAAAAACTCCGAGCTCGGGCCTCTGCAGCACTTGAATCTAAAATGTGGTCTCAAAATAATCCGACCGCCAGAGGAGGGCTTTTGTTGCTTCCTCCGCTCTGTGTGCCCCGAAAACATGATTTATGCCTCAAGAATTTCCTGCTACTATCCATGTTTCTCCTCCCTCCCGTACCCCCTTAATAAGAGAAGGCTGTTTTTTGGGGGGGCTTGCGTGCTAAAGTCTAATTGAATTCAACACTTGAGATAGCTTTGCCATTAGGCATTACTGATCATACAGTTTTCCTATTTGCCTCTCTACCAAACTTAGGGGGGGAAAATCATACTCCTGTTGTTATAAAACCACAAACACACATTCACCATAACTGGAAACAGGTACAGTAAAATGTGCATCAGAGTTTGCACACAATATCCTAACAGAGAGTTTAGGACCATCATCTAAAATTTCCTTTTTTCACCATTGTTCTGTTGAATATGTTTATGCCACAAAGCTAAGTCAGTACGAGTGAAATGAAGTTTAAAATAAGGCTCTTTCTTATGAATCCATTTTACCTACAGAGACACACAGATAAATATATTTAAATATATATTATTTTTTAAGGGGGCATAGAAGATAGCTGAGCAGAGGGGAAATACGACAAGAGTTTGTTTAGCAGCAGCAATTTAGCATTAAACACGACAACATGTTCCAAAGTAACCAATGCCTCGTGCCAACGCTTGCATGAGAAGCATGGTAATTCAGAGAATGCTACATGTAAGTCAGGGCAACAAGACCCAAGACCCCATTCTGTCATTGTTACTGCAATACGAATGTCAGCAGGTCACAGAACCTCTGCAAGTCTCGCTTTCACTATCTGAAAAATGGGAATAAGGATGCCTGCTGACCTGACAGGATTATCAGGCCAGAACCATGTCACCGATGGGAAGCGGTTTTGCCAAGCCCAAAGAGCTGTATGAATATGGGGAATATTGCAATTGCTAGTGGTGGATGAAAGGAAGGTTAGCTTAACTTTAACAATTTTAATATTCAATGCCTTTTAAAGATGGTCTAGAATGTCCCTAAAAACTCAAAAATACTTAACAGTCAAAATCTAAGGTTAACATAATGTATGATTTTGCTTTACATGCCCTTCTGCAAAATATGAAACGGAGAGATGAGTGGCGACCCAGGGGTGCCCGGAAGGCTGGGGTACAGGAAGGCCTTGGCTTGCAGAGCGCAGCCCTGGGGTGCGGGCGGACAGCTGCGGTGTACCTAGACAGCGGGAGTGGTTACCTAGCACTGAGCCAGGAAGAATGACTGTTATTATGTGAGGTTAAACATCCCTCTTTAAAATGCATGAGAAGCAGTATGTAACCTTAAAGAACAATGAAAAAAAACCGTGTGAGCAGATAGAACAGATTTAACCTGAAATCTGACAAAGAAAATGGAACATGGGGTGTAATATGGTTAAGGGGATCATTACCATTAATGTTAAGGGGCTAAAATTTGAATTGGATTATCAAATTAAAGGCAATTTACTACAATAATCAGTTTATTTTAGGGAAAATGATCAATTCTTATTGCATTTTTTTGGAAACGGTTAGGGAAGTGGAGGGCCACCAGTAGTCTGCCTCAGAGACGTATCCAACAACAGCCCAATGAATCAGCCTGAACGGCCACATTTACTCTTCTGGACCTATAGAATCTAAATGCAAAATACAAGTTCATAAATTCCACAACATAAAAAGTAAGGAGAGTAATGACTAAAAACACTTTCTAGAGTTTATTCTACAAACAGTTAATACTCAACTCATTTTCCCTACTTGCTCCTATTCTAATTACCATCATAAAAATATGAATAATATGAAAAATATGAAAAACCAACAATTACTTGGTCAAGATGCTATACTTACAAAGTCAGGAGCTGGGAGGCTCTTAATAGGACCGAAAGATTATTTATTAAGAGGATTTAGTTAACTAGAAATCTCAATGTGAATTTCCCATTCTTATAACACTTGACGGATACAGGCACATCTTTCAGGGGACATGTCTTTGTCCAGGGTGGGAGTCAATTAGTTCTAGTGCACGAGTACATAATTCTAAATGTTGGTTTGTCTATGTACGATAGCTGATTTTACTATCAGCTTCTGCAGCAGCCACGTGTGGCTTAATAACATGAACAGGAGATCCACACCACTAGGTGACATCACCAAGGCACCAGGATCACACAGTGAACCGACACTAGCCATCCAGCCCTAGGGAGAGCCCATCGGACATGCAATTAGCTTCCCTTGGACCACAATGTTGCTGCCTGGCACATGCCACCCTGTTTCCTGTGTGCAACTATGTATAAACATAGATGAGACTGGATCTGCTCTCACCACACTGAGTTGGGCCTGGGCTGTCCCTCAGAGTGATGTATGCAAATGAGGATGGAGGCATAACTTCCCCTGTCACATACAAAAACATCAGTAGTCAGCTACTTCTCTTCCTGATGGTATCGCACTCAGAATCTTTGCAGATCAGGGAGAGGCACAATGTGCAGTTGCCAAGAGACAGACTTAACGAGTCCTTCCAGTAAGGAAAAGTAATCGCTAAAACAAGACAAAACACAACGACCCGGACGCGCTCTTGCCATAAGGTCCTGCACATCCACATGTGCACAGTACCTGCGTGCCAGAATTTGCCTTCAAAATTAATTAATTAATTAATTAATTCTTCTGTAAGCACAAACTTGGGAATCAAACCCACCACAAGAAATTCTCTCTTGAACCACACACTAAGGCTAACAAACTTGGACTCATTGTGGATTGTTCCTTGCAAGTGTCATTAGACTCTTTACAAGTCAGCAATTTTTGGAAGGAAGAAAATGAGAAAGCAGCATAAGTTGCTTAGTAGTCCACTGTAGCTCCAACTGAAGAAAATCGGGGCCCCGGCGGCGTGGCCTAGTGGCTAAAGTCCTCGCCTTGAACACACCCCCAGATCCCATATGGGCGCCAGTTCTAATCCTGGCAGCTCCACTTCCCATCCAGCTCCCTGCCTGTGGCATGGGAAAGCAGTCAAGGCTGGCCCAAAGCCTTGGGACCATGCACCCGCGTGGGAGACCTGGAAGAGGTGCCTGGATCCTGGCTTTGGATCGGCGCAGCATCGGCCGTTGCGCTTACTTGGGGAGTGAATCATGGGACAGAAGATCTTCCTCGCTGTCTCTCCTCCTCTCTGTATATCTGACTTTCCAATAAATAAATAAATCTTTAAAAAAAAAAAGGAAAAGAAAGAATATCGAAAGTACCTGTGTCCGTAGAATAGACTCGGAAGCTCTTATCCCAGAAGCCGCCGACAAGGATGCAGCGGTTGTCTGCAGTGACCACAAAGCACTGGGAGTGGACCTGAATGCTCTGGTCCAGAAGGTCGGTGATTTGCCTCCTGTGCATTCCTGTATTGCTGGCTGCAAAATCAGAGGAAGAACAAACTGCTAAACAAGCAGGACCAGGAACTCCGGCTGGCTGTCATACCAGGATTTGGGAGTGGGGAAATCGGGGAAGGAGACATGTGGTGAGGTAAGAATTTTTGATCTTTGGGCCCAGCATGGTGGCCTAGCAGCTAAAGTCTTCCCTTAGCATGGGCCAGGATCCCATATGGCCATAGGTTCTGATGCCGGCAGCCCTGCTTCCCATCCAGCTCCCTGTTTATGGCCTGGGAAAGCAGTTGAGGAAGGCCCAAAGCTTTGGGACCCTGCACCCGCGTGGGAGACCCGGAAGAGACTCCGGGTTCCTGGCTTTGGATTGGCTCAGCTCTGGCCGTTGTGGCCACATAGGAAGTGAATCATCAGATGGAAGATCCTCCTCTCTGTCTCTTCGCTCTGTTTATCTGACTTTGCAACAATAAATAAATAAATAAATCCTTAAAGATAATTTGTGATCTTTTTAAGTATAACAATAGTTGAAAACCAAACAAGAAGACAAAACTGATTGTTGGAAGAAGGTGAGCGGCTCAACTTTCTTCTCTCACGAGAACATCTTTGCTTAGAGGAAAGAAATAACACCATGGCGCAACTCTACAACAATATACAATTCACAGGACCTGCTTCCTAGCTCTTGGGCAGGACCAAACTAGATTATCACCCCCAGACTGCATCACACGGAGGCTTGTGTCTCTGACAATCTCATCACATCTATTGTCATGAGAATGGATTCATGTGGTGACAATCTATTACCTTGAACATTTTGTCACAAGGAAAAGATATTAGGATTTAAATGTCATATATGTGAAATATTGTAGCATCCTGTGCTGCTTTGGCTTGAAAGGGTCTTTAATTTGACTAGAAGGGAACTCCCCCATTTGCCCAGCTTACAGCTGCACTTTGCATGTAAGGAAAGGATAGAATGACTGGTTACTAAAGATTCTTGTAATTGAGAAAATCAAAGCACAGAGATGGCCACTTTCTTACCCCATCTTTAAGCCATAAAACAAGACAGCCTGGCAGTGTGTTTCCAAACTGCTGCCTGGCCCCTGACATGGGACTTCTCCCAAGGCACAGGGTCAGACAAGGAGTGACACCAAACACGGGCAGACAGCCAGAAAGTTCCAGAAGTACACCACCAAGTGTGCCACTTTCAAAAGAGGGGTTTTCACTGGGGTGTCTTTTTTTTTTTTTTTTTAATTGTGGAGGTAGCAAACTAGAAGATTCTGTTCCAGGGACCCTAGGGTTATTATATCAATACCTTTCCAGTAAAAAATAATGCTGCCTAAAGACATTTGGGGCCCGGCGGCGTGGCCTAGTGGCTAAAGTCCTTGCCTTGAACACACCAGGATCCCATATAGGTGCCGGTTCTAATCCTGGCAGCTCCACTTTCCATCCAGCTCCCTGCCTGTGGCCTGGGAAAGCAGTCAAGGACGACCCAAAGCCTTGGGACCCTGCACCCATGTGGGAGACCCGGAAGGAGTTCCTGGCTCCTGGCTTTGGATCGGCGCAGCATCGGCCGTTGCGCTCACTTAGGGAGTGAATCATCAGATGGAAGATCTTTCTCACTATCTCTCCTCCTCTCTGTATATGTGACTTTCCAATGAAAATAAATAAATCTTAAAAAAAAAAAGATATTTGATGAAATCAGAACAAAGAAAAGCATTTTCTGCATTTCATTATTAAGCACTTTTACCATAGTTTTCAGTTTTGGGGTGGGGAACAAACCTTGTTGCTTAAAATTCAGAAACAGAAAAATGTCTATACTATTTTCATCGTATGTAACAACTAAGTTCGTATGAGAGCTAAAGAAAAGGCTCCGGAAGTCAAGTTAAAAGGACACACGTCGCAGTGTGGCAGAGCAGCCGGCCTCTCCGTGCAACGGAGCCGTGTGACACAAACTTATTCTGAACGCTAAGCAACCCAGCAATTACCAGAGGCTCTGTGGTGCTCTCCACACTAGTGATTAGCACGCTTCATTCTATGCAAGGATTTCAAAAAGGCTTATTCCGGTCAGTGTTTGTGTGACTTCTGCTCTCACAATGGAAACTTTGATTGGTCGTATTTTGGGGGCTGACCATAGAGTTCCCATGAGGACAGGCTGATGCCCCGTCAGTATGCAGTATGCAAATGAGTAATTTTCTAGTGCATACTTGTAATCCCTTTTTCTTTTTTGACTTTTTTACTTGTAATTTACACAGTGCAGAGTCCTATCTCACCCAGCCTTTTTATTTCCCTCATTATTGATTCTAGTCAATCTCTCGTAATTCAGCACCCAAAGTAATTTTTATTCAGTGGATATTAGGCATACTCATCTAGATAAGCAGTCTTCAAGCTGGGACAGTCTTCGCATCCCGAGGGGGTAAGACTTCCCAAGGGATACACAGGCACAGATGGCTTTGAGGGCATCAATTTCTAGTTTCTCAGTGTTCACATATTCTCGTTCCTGAAACTGATTCGCTTGAGAATGCTCAGGTGAATTTCTTATTCTTACCTCCCTCATGTAAAATCTTACTTAGCATGGCACATTGCCCGTGGCATTAAAGAGAGAGAGAGAGAGAGGGGAAAACAGACTCTGGAGATCCAAATAACGGGCCAGTTCAAAACACTGATGTGATAGCGAAAAATGAATGCTTGGGAATCATACCCCTGCCCAGTCAGATGGGTACTAATCCACGCTTTCCAAGAAAATAGAATGAGAAGCGAATCACTCTATCAGTTGATACATTATTTAACACAAGCCTCAACAACAGATTGAAAATCTAATAGGCTATAAAAATATTTTAATGAAAGAATATTACATGGATTTTTTACTACTTGACTCACACTTCTGAATGACAGTGCTAAATATTTGAATGATAGTCCTAAAACAAAACCTTCCCTTTCTGACTTTTTTTTTAAGATTTATTTATTTTTATTGGAAAGGCAGATTTACAGATAGAAAGAGAGCGGGAGAAAGATCCTCTGTCCATCGGTTCACTCCCCATGTGGCCGCAACAGCCGGAGATGACGAAGCCAGGAGCCAGGTGCTTCTTCCGGTCTCCCACGTGAGTGCAGGGTCCCAAGGATTCGGGCCATCCTTCACTATTTTTCTAAGCCACAAGCAGGGACTTGGATGGGAAGTGGAGCAGCTGGGACACAAATCCATGCCTAAGTGGGATGCTAGGCTTGAAAGCAAAGAAAAGACCTGGGCAAGCAGTGGAGGATGCCCAAAGCCTTGGGACGTGCACCCATGTGGGGGACCTGGAAGAAGCTCCTGGCTTCAGATCACTTCTGGCCACTGTAGCCATTTGGGAAGTGAACCAGTAGATGGAAGTTCTTTCTCCGTCTCTCCTTTTCTCTACACATCTGTCTTTCCAATAAAAATAAGCAAGTGTTTGGGAAAGAAGTAGACAAATAGTTTACAAAGGAATAGGATGAAATTTCTAACTTTTAAGGACTTGTTAATACATTTAAAAAAAAAAAAAACCAGAAACTGTTGAATATCAGCACACTCTTGATATTTAGATTCCATTTAATACAATGAAATTTTTTTATATTGTGCTAGAAATCAAAGCCTTTGCAGCTATTTAAAACTTATGATGAAAATGTTTAGAGATCAACCTTGAGGTATATGGAAAGGTACATGGTTGTAAATAATCATTTTAGGATTAAAGCTGAAAACAATCTGATGAGCAGAGTCATGGCAGAGACAGCTAAGTGTAGCCTGCAGGCCAAGCCTGTCCCATGTCTGGCTTTATACATAAAGTTTTATTGGAACACTGCTGTGTCTACTTGTTTATACATTGTCTGTAGTAGCTTTTGTGCTAATGGCTGAATTCAGTAGTTTTGTTTGAGGCTTTTAGCCAACATAGCCTAAATTATTGACTATTTGGCCACATGCTGAAAAAACTGACCCCTATTTGATCCAAGGGGGTTACAATCGCTGATTTTATTTGACTTTATAGAATATTTATTGTCAAAATTTAAAACAAATGATGAACCTATAATTCAGAAGTAATGCTTTCCATGATATAGAAAATGGGCTTTGTTGTTTTCCTGACTTTTAAAACTAAGTGAGCATTTGGGCCTGGCGGCGTGGCGCAAGTGGTTAAAGGTCCTTGCCTTGCACGCCCGGGATCCCATGTGGGCGCCAGTTCTAATCCTGGCAGCCCCGCTTCCCTTCCAGCTCCCTGCCTGTGGCCTGGGAAAGCAGTCGAGGACGGCCCAAAGCTTTGGGACCCTGCGCCCGCGTGGGAGACCCGGAAGAGGCTCCTGGCTTCGGATTGGCATAGCATCTGCCGTTGCGCTCACTTGGGGAGTGAATCATCGGACGGAAGATCTTCCTCTCTGTCTCTCCTCTCTGTATATCCGCCTTTCCAATGAAAAAATAATAAAAATAAATCTTTAAAAAAAAACTAAGTGAGCATTTGATTTTTTCCCCTTATGTGGCAAATCTCTCCTAACTCAAAGCCAAACAGATTTAGGAACAGATTAGCACTGATCCTTCCAATGCTGAGAACTACTAGATTTTGGTCAGGTTTAGGGAACACACGAAGAGAATTTAAAATATATATATGTATATATTTATGTATAGGAAAGTCAGAGTTCTAGAGAAGAAGGGAGAGACAGAGTTGAATTGGTTTTGAGCGAAAGGTTAGCTTTGTTCATCCTGATGGCCTATTTGCAAATGGTGGTCACTTGCCTTCTGACTGAGACAGAAGTCTTAAGACAGACAGGTAACACACACACAGGGAATATACTGTATTTTAAACAGATCTGTTCATTTAGGCCAGTGTTGTGGCATGGTGAGCAAAACCACCTCCTGCAACACTGGCATTCCATATGAGCACTGGTTCACGTCCTATTTCCTGTTTGTGACCTAGGAAAAGTATCAGAAGATGGCCAGCGTGTCTGGACCCCTGCCTCCACATGGGAGGCCCGAAAGCAGCTCCTGGTTTCAGGGAAACCAGTCTGGGGAATGGATCAAGAGAGGAAAGCTCCCTCTCTTCCCTCTCCATCTCTCTGTAACTCTGATTTGCAAATAAATAAATAAAGCTTTAAAGGACAATTCCAATTTTGTGATACCAGGGCAGTTTGACAAAAGTGTAAGCCAAACACCCATGCTGGTATCTTATCTCCATAGCTGGGCAATTAAGTTTTTTTATTCTAAAAGTTACTGAACAGGATTTTCCATATCAAGGCTTAAGGTTCTAACGGACGCTGCAACTGAAATGATCACACGTAACAGCGAGAATGGCTGAACTAAACATTTCAAGTAACCTGCCTGAACACCATTTTGGCAGGCAAGCCATGTAAGTCTACTTCTGTAGACACTAGTTCCATTCCGAGGCTCTTCCTGGTCTCCTGCCTCTTTTCTCCTCACCAAATCTAACCTCCAATGGCAATTTATTGGGCTTTAGGGCCCTAGAAAAATGAATACAAATATCTCCACACCACCATTGGCTGGGCAATATATTTCAACTTGGAAACTGCTCTGCAATGGCACATTAATCCCCTCTGACCGAACAGAGGGTCCAGGAAGAAAGGATTGATCTCCCTTAACGATGAAACCCTGGCACTACAGTTTTATTTTTCACAACACAGTGCTGCTAAGAACCCCACTGTTATTATGAAAATTCCCCTCGCAAAGGAGCTCCATCACATTACCAGCACACCAATTCATCATAACGCGCCTCGCTCCTGCTCATCAACAAGTCTGAGTGATGAAAAGATCCAATATTATCCTGACAGTACTTCATGCGCATTCTCAATCACACATTATTACGGCATCCATATTAATTTTCGATGACACGCGTCCTAGGCCTGTTCAAATTAGGCAAACCAACGAGGGGGAGTTGATGAAATACCAGCATAGCCACAGCTCATTGCATTCCAATTTGCATGCAAATGGTTTATCAGGAAAATTCCATTCCCAGCAACCAGCAAGTGAAAAACAACTGTAATCTACACTTCAGGGCCACCATACAGAGCTTAATGAATCGCAAAGAGAGGAGGAAGTGACAGACCTATGAGAGGATCGATTTCCACTGGCAGCTGGTATGGCTGGTCTTGTACAGCACCTTGATGAGCTGGAATTCACAAAAGACAGAAAAAAAAGCGCGTTATTTTTCATATACCTAAACTACACAAAAACGCGTAACGTCGAACCTCAGGCAGAACTGTTTCCAACCCCCAAATCACTCATGCAGTTTTGTGAAATTTCAAGAACAAAAAAAAAAAATCCAGGTGCTTTTATGGCTAGCTTATTAAACATTTATTTTAGATGAGTGCTGTTCTGAACACGTGCCATCAGCAGTGGCTCCGGTCCTAGGCCATAAGCTACGGCAGATGCCTGACTGGCAACCTCCAAGGCTGCAACAAAACAAAATTAAGTGGTAAAGCGTGCTGAAAACAAAATGTGACAACCATCTGCTGACTGTAGCAAATACTGTTTTTTTCGTTACTCCTTAAAAAGGCAGTTTTGAATGCTGCAGCACAAAAGAGCCACAAAAACGTCAATTTATGATGGAGAAAGGGAAAGCTCTAAGTCAGGGAACATTTAAGGTTTCATCCATCACTTAAAACCAATCAATTGAAAGTCGGAATAAAAATAAAGCTATCTGCAGATAAATGTTCTAGTTAAATGTATTTGGCTGAAATATTTTCTTAAAGATTGGATTGAGGGTTTTTTAAAAAGTTGTATTAATATTTAATATTTTCATGGTTTCAATTTAAAAATACTCTGAGAAGCAAATGAGGTACAAAAATCAATGCAGACTAAGAATAGTTTGTTCCGATCTCAACCATGGTCTAAATGGTGCAGGCGTGCTTCTCTGTCACCAGAAAGAGTTACTGTGGGTTGTTCCCCTACAAAAGGTGCAAGGACTTCAGAGCAGAGGGCTATTAAGGATCAGCCATGGTTAGCTATGCAACCTGAGCTGAATCCGACATCTCAAACTGTGGGGCTTGGGATGGGTGATCCTTTCAGCTGCCTAGTTCTGACAGTTCAATTCCAGGTACTTTTCCAAACTATCTTTCTCAAATGAATCAGCCACCACCCTGGTCAGTGCCTGCCTTTTACGGACTTGCCATGCATTTACGTCACTGCTTGGTGAGGATCAGAGCTCTGTTTGGGAATCTCAGAATTGTTCTTGAGCGGCTGAAATTTCAAATGAGGTGGCTGCTTCTCAGGGATGCGCCTCGAGCCTAGTTCCTAATTCTGGTTAAGATGCCCTCATCATGTATCGGAGCCCCTGGGCGCACTGCCAGACCCCAGCTCCTGAGCACAGCCAGTGCAGCCCCTGGGAGGCAGTGGGATGTCCCAAGCACACAAGAGGGACACCTGGATTAAGGTCACGGCCTTAGCCCTGACCTTGACCCCACTTGGGGAGTGAACCAGCAGATGAGAGCTCTGGCTGCTCTGTGTATCTGCCTCGCAGCTAAAACACTTTTATTAATATGGAGTATATTCTGATGAGTTCATTATATTGTCTTTAAATGCGCTATGTCATGATTTTTCCACAGGGGGTAAACACTGAGTGTTTTAAGGATATTTTGAAAAACTGTTAATACCAACTACATGACAATTGCTAAGGACAATATTGGCACTAAAATGGCAGTTGAATATGTATGAGACACTAAATTAGCTGAAGAAAGGAAGCCAAGATGACTATTTTTTGACTGCAGGCATCTGTCTTCTGCAGACACATCCCAGGATGCTCACGTGGGATGAACAGGCCAGTGCTTTCTAGCCTCTGGTCTACCCATCAGTGGCATTTATTTACTTGCAGTCATGCTACTGTCAGTCAACACTAACGCCATGGGAATTCTCTATTTTTCTGTGAATCTGGGATCATAGAAACATTTAAACCAAACATTTAAACCATCTCTTCTGTGGAAGCAATTTAAGGAGGACGGGTGATGCTTCAATTTCGGCTCTGTCACTGACTGCCTCTTCGACCATGGGTAAGACATGCAGCTTCCATGTTCCTGCCTGATTTATAAAATAGGTTAGATTGAATCCTATAAAAATTGCCAAGACCTGACCATTCTAAACTATTAAAAAGGCAATTACAGCATCAGTGCTGTGGCACACTAGGTTAAACCCCTGCCTATGGTGCTGGCATCCCGTTTGGACACCACTTCGTGTCTCAGCTCACCCAGTTCCCTGCTTGTGTCCTGTGAAAACAGTGGAGGATTGCTCAAGTCCTCGGACTCCTGTACTCACATGGGAGAGCCAGAAGAAGCCCTTGGCTTCAGACCAGCTCAGCTATGGCCGTTTTAGCCAGTTGGAGAGTAAGCCAGCAGAATAGAGATTTCACTCTGTCTCCTTTTCTCTATAAAACTGCCTTCCAAAAAGAGAAAAAATTTTTAAGGATATTTTTATATGATTTAAACTAAATACAGAATCTACAACCTTAACTGTTGAGGTGATTGGTGTAACACAGATAAAATGATCAAAACAGAACTTGGAAAATAGAAAGTTCCTGCAAACATTAGCTGCCATTGTCTTCATACTCTTAGGGTTCCTTCAAATTCTTTCAATGGAAAGGGAGGACAGAGACTATTTCAAAGTCAGGACTCAACGAAAACTTAGTGGCCAGCTGTCTTATGCATGAACAATGGATATCACAGCTGCCCAGTAAATCACCTAAACGTTTGTTTAAAGTTGGCATAAAACACGTTTGATATTTTCTGAGGGAAAAAGCGTCTGGCATTCCTGATGTGTGTTTTAAATCAGGACACACTGAAAGGTAAAGGTCAAAGGACGGGCTCCCCCAGGTAAGCACACCTGAAACGGGGTGCAGATTTCCGAGAGCAGACACCGAGTGTCAGGGTAGGCGCAGCTCAGAGCTGGAGACCACGCTCTGCAACAGCACCCGCCGTGGTGTGTCCCCACGTGTCACCGTTTTCTGTGTACCCCATGAAGAGTCGCTGTGCTATCAGAGCAGATGTCTGCTAGGGAGGGGACAGACATCACCAGAGAGACAGGTAGCGAAAGCTTGCTGGGGACAACGATGGGCAGAGAATGGGCCCAACTCTACAGTGCCCAGCTCTCGTCTCACAGGAAGGCCAGCCTGGGCTGGGAATAGCTGGCTGTACCCTAAATGCCACTGCAACAGAAGGCCTCTGCCCTTAACTCCTTTATGTACCTACAGAAAGTACAGATGCAGGAGGCAGGACCCTTGCCCACCAGTTTCAGGCAGGCACCTGCTCCAAACGGGAAAGGGAATGGCAGGAGTTCTGTCACCAAAGCCTAGGACTGAGCAATCCTTTGGGTCCTGTGAGCAAGCTCTCCTCTAGCAATTAGAGACAGGGCAGGGGAAAGTCAGGGCTTTCCGGCATCCGCGAAGCTCCTTCTCTCCTCTCAGAGGCGGCCAGTGCTTAGAGTGAGGAGGTTCCTGGGGCTCCCACAAAGTGCCACCCAGGATAAGCAGCATCGGTGGTGGCCCTGACACATGGGGCGGTGCTTACAAGCTGGATGGTTAATGCACAGCAGGTAGGGGACCCCTGAACATACCACCAGCATGTTTTTCTTCCAACATCACATTTCTTAAATTTTAATTTCCAGTTCCAAAATCTAAATTTTTCATTTGCATATGCATTTACCTCTGTAAGATAAATACACTTCATGAAACAGACATTAAAACCCTAATCCTAGAGACGCTAAATACCCACCACAGTTTTTACTCTCTTCATTTTTTCTTAAATCTATTTTCTATTTAAATATTGGATTCTCTTTCTGTTTTTTCCTGTTCAGGGGCAAGGAAAATGCCCACATTCACTCACTTGTGATACCAACCACAGCATCTTCGTGACAGAGACCTTATTGAGCCTAATCGGTATTTGAGGGCTTTATCTGAACTTTAACTGTTCCGTTCTAAGTTTTCTTGCACTGAATTTGGCATGAGGTCCTGTTGCAAGACCTGTGTTGGGCCTGGAGTGGTAGTTAGATCCTGGCCTTGCACCCACCAGGATCCCATGTTGGTGATAGGCAGTTCGTGTCTCAGTTACTCCACTTCCCACCCAGCTCCCTGCTCGTGGCCTGAGAAAGCAGTCAAGGATGGCCCAAAGCATTGGGACTCTGAACCTGTGTGGGAGGCCTAGAAGAGGCTTCTAACTCCTGGCTTCAGATCAGCTCAGCTCTAGCCATTGCAGCCACTTGATGGGTGAACCAGTGGATGGGGGATCTTTCTCTCTGTAGATCTGCCTTTCCACTAAAATAAACAGATCTTTTTTTTTCTTTTTTTTTCTTTTTTTTTTTTTTAAATCATGTTTCAGAGGCCAGGGTTGTGGCATGGTGTATTAAGCCTCCACCTTACATGCCAGCATCCCTTATCAGTGTGCTGGTTCAAATTCCAGCTGATCGGCTTCTGATCCAGCTCCTGTAATGCACCTGGGAAGGCACTGGATGATGGCCCAAGTACCTGCAGCCCGTGCCACCCATGTGAGAGACCAGGGTGGAGCTCTTGGCCTCTGGCTTAACCATGGGCCACGTCTCACTGGTGGGCATGTGGGGAGTCAATCAGCAGATGGAAGATTTGTCTGTCTCTTGCTCTGCCATTCAAATAAATCAAAAAACCTTCAAGAACTTGTATTTTTATGACCATTTCTGAAATTCTAATATGAATATGTGCACATATTAGCATGTATAATAAGCTTTATGTACACTTTAGTTAGTAGGCTATTAAAATCTCTCTTAAAGAAAAATGTTCTCTCTAAAAACAACAAGTCAGGGAAAGAAACACCTGTAACTTCCACAAAAGATTTGAACACATAAATCCTTCTTGTAAAAGAATTCTTAATCAGTTGCTCAAAAGAATGGTGGAAAATCTTGGCCCCAACCTATTCCTATCCTAAGGAAAGAGATACAATGCAGAAGGGTGAGCCTAACATCTGAATCAGAAACCTTGGGTCCCAACTCTGTCACTCACCAGCCATGAGAGATGCTGGGCGAGGCGAGTCCGTGGGCCCAGGCTCTTCTCTGTTGAACCATGAGGCTGGAAGCCATAAAGCAACACCTCTTTCAACCTGGATGGTTAGGATTCTAATGGCGATCTCAGCTAAGTGTAACCACCTATTCCACACTTCATAGAGTAGCAAAAGGTACTTAAGGATATGTACTATTTTGCTCGTGCAATTTAATTTTCTTTCTGTCATCCTCAACACTACTATACTGTGCACAAAAAAGATATAAGTAATCAATTATTTGAAGTGCTTATTGAGTGGATGAATGAGTGAGTGAAAAAAGGGGAATATCTGATAAACATATAGATGCCATAAAGAGTTTCACTGTATTAAAACATTAGCGACCACACCCATTTCCAAGGAGAAAGACAAACATAGTACTATATGTCTCAAACTATTCAATAATTTGATTAGCTGAAAGCTTTGTGCTTGAGATGAACTCTGTCTAATTGGATACTGCAGTATCTCTATAGAGCATTCAGTTACCATACCTTAGAGTGACATTTCTTTACTTACCAGGAAGGTTGTGCCACTTGTTCACGGCAAAGAGCCTATTCGTGGTGACCGTGATCACGGCAGGGTTTGCCAAACCCGGCTGGGTGTTGGCTGCCACGTGAGTGACAGGGGAGTTGGAGGGAAACTTTAGAACCATGATAACGTCCTGCTGGGCTTGGTCTGTGAACATCAGTGGACTCTGCAGGAGGAGATACTGTTGAGTGGGCATGACAAGACCCAAACATACAAGAAGGGACAGACAGAGAAAGACAAAAAAAAGAGAGGGTACAGGAAGAGAAGAAGAAATCACATTAACACAAGGTGCAAGCAACAGTGCAGTGAGTAAAAAGGCTTGAATAAAACAGCAATCATGATTGGCTTGTTTTCCACAGATGTCAGTGACGTTTTTTGAGAATGAAATATTTCAATAGTTTTTTTGGGCCTTGTGTGGTAGTCTAGCAGTTAAAATCCTCGCCTTGTATGTACCGGGATCCCATATGGATGCTGGTTCATGTCAGGTTGCTCCACTTCCCATCCAGCTCCCTGCTTGTGGCCTGGGAAAGCAGTGGAGGACGGCCCAAAGCCTTAGCAACCTGCACCTGCATGGGAGATCTGGAAGATGCTCCAGACTCCTGGCTTCAAATCGGCTCAGGTCTGGCCATTGTGGCCACTTGGAGAGTGATTAATTAGACAGAAGATCTTCCTCTCTGTCTCTCCTCTTCCCTCTAAATCTGACTTTCAAAATATTTTTTTAAATAAATATGTATTTTTTTCAATTTCATTAGCTCCCCTCACTTTCCTAGTACCATGAATAACTAAAAGAATGATTGGGTTTCATTTTAAATGGGAAAAATGCTGGTAATTGTGTTAAACCATTCCAGCTGCATTCATATCATTTCACATAGTAATCTTTTTGCACAATTAGAAAAGGAAGGCAAAATCAATAGCAATAAAAGCAAGCAAAGGTAATTTCCAGAGATAATCAAAAGTAGTCCTGAGCTAGCATGGAGATTTTGACAACTAAATAAACAGATGATTAAAACAAATATATTTACAAACAACAGTTAGATGCTATGAAAACATTATAACAGAAAAACAATTTATGAGGGCAATGCACATTTAACGACAAAGATGTTCAAAGCAATGCATAATTAAAGCTACTTGTAAAAACAACCTATCTAGTATATCAAACCAGTCACTGTCCATTGTAATGCCAGTGTCACTGCTTCTTGCTGTAGAAAGAGAGAAAAAGAAATACCGAACGCCCTCCACCTTTTTTGGTAATAAATGCAAAACAACAAAAACAGAAGCAAAATAACTAAAGCATGACATTTTAAAAAGTTTCTTCTTTGAGAGGCAGAGAGCAATTGAAAATGATAATTGAAATACTCGTCTGTTTTAATAATCAGTAACAAAATAAATCCTGAGGACTACCAAGGATGTGGGGCATTCCTACAGCCCACATGTCATAATCCCAGACATATATGGCACATCTCTGATTTACTGGCCTTATTTATACTTTGTGGTCACATGCGATCATACAGTAATTGCACTGCACATTTTCAACAATTCTCTGCTACCGTGTCTATTTTCTAATAGCTGATTAGTATCATTCAGAATTGAAACGCTGTGATGAAATACTTCTGGCTGCTTTCCTACGACCATATTTCAAAACCCCAGGTATATGTAAATGCGTAGGCACATCTATTTAACACGTATTTATTCAGAACAGCTAATAAAAAATTAAATACATTTGCATTTTTATTATCAGTCCTTTTAAAAAAGTTATTAAGAGTACTTAGAAAAACATATTGCACTAAGAATTCCTATTTGCACTCTTTGCATAAAGGTGTAAATAAAGGCAACTAATAAGCTACCCAGACACCCTTCTGAGCAAGTGGCTAAAAGCCAATCAATATTATGAGTTAATCCTCCCTGGATGCTCATTCAATTAAAGGTGTCAGTAATGCCTCATCTGATGTGGCCTCAATTAAATCCAACTATCTGATGGTGTGAAAACACAGGGGGATAGAGCAACAGCAGCAACACCAGACAAATAGGCAGCCTTCGTGTGCCTGCTAATTACTACACCTGGTGCATATTATGGCTCGTGCACTGAACGCAGCACGAGGTGCCTTTAATTTCTGCAATATCCGTGTGTGTGTGAGTGTGTGTGGTAAGATGCATTGGTGGCTGATGGGAGAGCTCATCTGAACGTTAGTGAAGACAATAAGCATGTGTGCTTTTGATTCTTAAAAATTCTGATCTCAATTAAGTCATTTCACACAAAGAACCTTGAATGTGTGTGTGTGTTTAAGGCATTCTGAGAAAACAGGATTGGATAAGCTGCCAGCTTTCAAAAAGTCCTGGAGCTCCCCATGAAAGAGTGAAATATACCTTGGACAGTATGATACCAGATTTTCTACTATGGCCTATACCTATAATGCCATGATACACTTGTACCGCAGAATATTAAACTTGTAACTGTTACTAAAGGACTGCACTGCTAATGTGAGGGAAGATTATGGGAGGGGCACATGGGGCGGGGGAGGGAGGAATCCTGGACCTACTAAGCCGCACCATGGAAAAGAGTAACAACAGAAAGAAAGAACTTAAACAAATCCTGGAAAAAGGACAAGGCCATCACTTTCCAGTACCAAGCCTTATTGTTCAATTCTGTAGGTTTTAAATAATATGTATTAAAGTTGATGTTTAAATTCTGAGGAAAAAAATCAGAGTATAATGCAAACATAACATTTCACTGAAAGGAGTTTGTACATATTTCTGGGCTCAACGTCTCAGAGAGTGAAGATAACCAGTCTCAAATGGAATAATTCTAATGCTTATGACCTTAAAACAAACCAAAAAAAAGAGGAACATCTTGTTTGCATTCTGACTTATGGAGTCAACTCAGCCACATGACAAGGACAAACCACTTTCCACAGGTAGCCACAGGCATCATATCCAGAACTGTCCACCACATTCCTACAAGCTGTGCCCCTAGCCTGTCCCTGGGCCCACATGTCCCGTCCTGACTCAGGCTCCTGAGGCAGACACGTGACCGAGAACTCTCCTGGGAGCTCTGTGATAGCCTCGGTTAGAAAGCATGAGCAAGGAGCCCTAGAAAGAAGAAATGGGCCACCTCCTCCCCTGCAGTGTTAGCAGCGGCTGAAGGAAGAGCAACGGGGCTAAGACAAACAAACTCTTCAGCTCAACTACCTCTGCAGGAGCATGCCAGCAGCCAAATTTCATTCTGTCATCTCAGTAGGTGCTTGCTTCTTTCCCATCCATGTACATATTAAAACAAAAGCCAGAACTTAGACCAGTCTGCAGAGCAATTCAGGAATTTACTGCAGTGGATCAGAGGATAAAGGAAAGGGAGAAGATGGCGTCCCTTCCTCCCGCCAGCTTCTGCCTTCCCAGCCTTCTGCCCACCCACCCTAGGGACATGAAGTGGATCTGCCTCGGTGAGCCAATAATCTTTCACCATGTAGGAAGGCTTGGCACTGGGAACTCAGGCATGGCCCCAGCAGCCACTGCTGTGCAGTGACCCGGCGGAAAGTCAACCCAGCAGTGGAGGTGCTTCCATTAGCCAGCACCAAACAGCCTGAGTCTCTGACAAGCTATTACTAAAACTAATTCCAAAGCCCAAACATAAATCATCCCTGTGGTTTTCATGGCATTATCTTCCACTGTGCTTGCTAAATGTTCACTGTGTGTCATGAGCTGTCCACTCAAGCCACCCTTTGTGTTCCCCCTAAACCTCATTTCAGTGGCTTCAAAATATCAAGGGGACACAGTGATGCAAATCATATTTCTTCTTCATTTCTGATTTTGTTGTTATTGTTGTTATGGGCAATTCATGTTCCTAGAGAAAGAAAGGAGAAAATCCCAGAAGAAGGAGGAAGATGATTAAAAGGGCAAAAGGGAAAAAGATAGGGGTAAGTAGCAAGGTGGGAAGAAAAGAGAAAAAACCCACCCAGAGCAGGGTACACAGGGCCTCACTTCTGTCTCCTGCTCCTCACGCTGCTGCTCAGCATCCCCCACCCCAGACTCCTGCCCAGGCCCGGCCATCCCCAAGTCACACGTGCAATTTGAATTTATCTAAAGTTGTTCATTAGATTTATAGAAATGGAATTCACTTTGCCTACTCTTCATCTATAAAAGACATGAGCTACTTTCTTTATTAAAACACATAGTCTGTTCTTCAAAAGAATTATTTGCAACATGAAATTTAATGTTTCTATGCCAGCATTTTATGTTCTCTTTGAAGAATGTGTACCCCTGCCCCTACTGCCACTGAAATTTCAGTAACAATCAAGGTAGACCAACCACATTCCATGCTAGCTCCAGCCCATTTCCCTGTCTTTAATTTTGGACAGTCTTTTGACCAATACTGACCAAGGGAATGTGGCAAAAATAATATGAGAGTTCAAAAGGCAGCAGGAGCCTTGCAGCCTCTATCTTCATCCCCCTGAGGTTGTTGTAACCGTGGGACTAAGCTTGGCCTGGCTTCTCTGAGTCTGAAAGATTACATGGAAAGAGGAACTCATTCGTCTCAGCCCAGTGGGGCAAGAATGGGCCATGGCAAAAGGGGCAGAAGAGAAGCCAATGTAAGCCCCAGAATCATGACAAATAAATCATTGTGTTAAGCCACCAAGTTCTGATATGCTAAGCCATTGCTTCTTTTGCCTTCAATGTCTCATTTTCAATAACAAATCCCATATATCAGAATTAGCACTAAAATTCCAAAATTGAGGGACCAGTGATGTGGCTCAACAGATTGAGCCACTGCAATGCCAACATCTAATGTAATTACAGGTTTAAGTCCCAGCCACTCCACTTCTGACTCTGCTCCCTGGTAATGGCCAGTGGGAGATGGTCCAAATTTCTGGGCCCTTTCCAACCAGGGGAGGAGAGACCCTACTTGGCTTTGCCCCAGGCACTGTGGCCATTTGGGGAGTGAATTGGTGGACGGAAAAATCTCATTTTCTCTTTGTGTCTCTCCCTCTCTTGGTAACTCTGCTTTTCAAATAAGTACATAAATCTTTAAAAAAAAATCTAAAATTGGAAAACACTGGACATGAATAACAAACACAACAGCAAACTTAATTTAGAGACACGCAGGATCACAACAGACAATGCCATTGACCCTATGTGTGGTGTCCTTTGTCCTACAGTGAGGGAACGTGACAGTCATGGTCCTTTAATTCCACAGCATGAAGCATGAACTGATGAAATACCAGAACACCAGAGCAAAGACTTCTCAAGGACCCCTGAAAGAGTGTAGTAACATTTGCTGGTTGTTAGCGGGTTAGCAAACATTGCATGAGGACTGGGCCAGATGCGGTGGAGAATCTCAGGCCCAGAGGAAGACTGTTAGAAATATTAAGCACGGTCTGACAAACAGGCAAGACACGAGGAGGGTGAGAAAACATACTCACAGCTTGCATGGCCGAACCTCGGGGAGGGTGGGGCTCTATGAGCAGCTGAGAGGGCGTCTGTCCAAAACTTCGGATTTGAGCTTCGATAGCCTGAAAAGGGCATGGGCACATCGAAGGGTTAAGAGGTGCTAATTACAGGCAATAGAACCACAACTGTCACCTGCAAATGTCATTCCACACTTCTGGCTTATTTCATGTGCAAAGTCAACCTGTGTTTTCACAGAGGGGCTAAGCACCTGGCAAGGGCATTGTGGGTGAGGTCATCCTTCAATACTGTGGAAGCTGTTTCCATAAAAACCCTGCAAAGCTTTCTCATCTTGCCCGGTGATGTGAAACAGAAACCCACTATTACGATCAGAAAGGGTCCTCTTTGGCTTCGCCTCTGTTTTCTGGCGTTTGGTTTTCCTGTTTGCATCATCTCCAGTGACGAAAAGCTAATCTTTTACAGGTATAGAGAAAAAAAATTGCTTCTTTTGATGCTTGGCCCCAGTTCATCTTGAGAAGTAAAAAAAGAAGAAAGCAGCCTAGCACCTGTGCAAAGTCTCGGCGCTGTGTTACCTGCCATGGGAAGGGTGCTGTTGGTGACAGTGTGAACCTCCGTGTCGAAATAACAAAGTCAAAGCCACATGCTGTCTCCAGGCATGAGACGGTTAAAATCAGGTACCAAAAAAACATAAGGAACATTTGCTTGTGTGTGTGCGTGCCTTTTTTTTTTTTTTGCAAGAACTGTGTACATATCTTTTTGCATAGCAAACCCCACCATGGCCTGAGCTAGACACCCAGTATAGATAACCACTTCCCAACTACCACCAACACCCTCTCTGGAAACTGCTAGATGCTAGGAGCTCTCTCTAATTATTTTGCTTACTTATTTACACCCATCTCCTTTTACTAAAATACAAGATACATCAAAACAAGGATCTTGGGTATCTTCTTTCTTCACTGGTTGAACAAATCCCTAAGTTGGATAGAGACCTAACACAATATGCACAAAGGGAGAGAAGGAAGCAAAGATATAAAAGCATAAAAGCTCCCCCAATAGCTCAGTATTCTTAACTCCCTCGTTGGAGGGATAAAGCAAACTTCATAAGTTCAGAAGAGATTACATGTCCACCAAGTCATTTTTCAATCCCTAAGACTGTATCTGTTTTTATGTGCTCTGTAGGACCATCACACTGTAGGTAATTAACATAGCATAAAAAAGAAAATACGATGCTTATGCAGTATTAATTTCCAGCTTTTAGTTGATGATTTCAGTAATAATCCTTCATGAGGAACTTGTAAGAAATAGAGATGGTGTCTACCTACTTACGTAGCTGATGATCATTTTTTTTTTAAGATTTATTTATTTTCTTCTTTTCACAAAGTCAGTTATACAGAGAGGAGAAGAGACAGAGAGGAAGATCTTCCATCCAATGATTCACTCCCAAAGTGAGTGCAATGGCCGGTGCTGCGCTGACCAGAAGCCAGGATCCAGGAGCCTCTTCCGGGTCTCCTACATGGGTATAGGGTCCCAAGGCTTTGGGCCGTCCTCAACTGCTTTCCCAGGCCACAGGCAGGGAGCTGGATGGGAAGTGGAGCTGCCGGGATTAGAACTGGTGCCCATATGGGATCCTGGCGCGTTCAAGGTAAGGACTCTAGCCGCTAGGCCACACCGCCAGGCCCATAGATGATGATCTTAAGTGAAGCACACAGCATTAACTGGTACTAATGTTTTTGCTGTTAACAAATGTACTTCTGATCTAGGAAGCAGGACAATTGTACTTGAACAGAAAAGAACACTTTGATGCACTCTATCCAGGAAACCTAAGGAATGCTCTATGACTAGCTGGGTAGCAGAGGCCAAGGAAGGTGTTTGAGAAAGCTGGGTTGGAAGCATAAATGTATTCTGAAGTCAGATCATGTTCACATTCTTGCATCCATACCATCCATACCATTTATGGACTCTGTGATCTACAGTAAGCTTCTTTTTTTCAAATATATACATACATATATATATAATGTGAGAATTGCATGGAGAGAAGGAGATATAGAACAAATGAGATCTTCCGCCTGTACGTTCATTCCTCTGATGGTCACAGCAGCCAGGTTGGCCCAGGCTGAAGCCAGGAGTTTCATCCAGGTCTCCCTGTTGGATGCAGGAGCCCAAACACCTGGGCCATCTTCTGCTCCTTTTCCAAGTCATTAGCAGGGAGCTGGATATGAATGAAGTAAAGCAGCGGGACATGAACTGTTGCTCCAAGGAGATGCCACTACACCACAATGCTCACCCCCAGGGTGAGTTATTTTCTTAAAAGATGCATTTATCTATTTGAAAGGCAGGATAATAGATGAAGAGAAAGAGAAAGAGAGAGAGAGAGAGATCTTCAATCCCTCAGCTTACTCCCCAGATGCCCAGCAGAGGCAGGGCAGGGAGCAGGAAGCCAAGCACTGGAGCCATCAGCTGTTGCTCCTTGGAGTGCACACTGCAGGACGCTAGACTGGAACAGCCAACGCTTGAACCAAGCACTCCAAGTGGAGACTTACCACGCTACACTACAATGCCTGACCCTCGAGTTAAGTCATTTCCTTTTCTCCCCTGTAAAATGTAGATGTTAATGTACCTACCCACAGGACATTTAAGAATTCAATGATATATCTGTGTGTAGATATGCATCTTGTAATGTTATACTAAAAACTGATTTATACATAACACAGCAAACTACTTTGTACAGACCAGACCCTCAATACACAGTTAATAAACATCCATTGAGGGCTGCTAACAACAATATTAAAAACAACGAAAATTTATTTAAGACTTCCTACTTGCCAGGAAATTTTAAAAATGAAATATCTTCTCATCTTTAACTGTGATACTGATACTTTGCCAAATCCACTTTATAGCTAAAAAAAAAAAAAATGTACATCATGCCCAAGGTCATATGGTAATTACATGGCAGACTTGAACTTTGCACCTAAACAGCCTGACTTGAGCTCTCATGATCTCCAACACTAAATCATCCTGTCAGTTTGTCTGTTGGGTAGCAGGCCAGGAACTAGGCATGAGACAAAGGAGAGAAATCAAACCAGACCAATAACCACAGCAGCAAAATACATGAACTGATAATCTGATGAATTACTAAGGAGTATTATGTCACCGTGAGCACTTGTGATGGTGAAGTGGTGAAGAAAATGTGTTTAGACACGAGTAGCAGAACAGTGTACTTAAGTAAGGGTTGATTTTATACTCAGAGAGAAGACTGGCCCTAGACGTTGGTAACACAAGGACTTGACAGAAAGCCAGAAAGAGAGGGGCCAGGTACTGCAGAGCAGCAGCAAAGCCACAGTCTCCAGGGCCAACATCCCATGTGGGTGCTGGTGCCAGCCGTGGATGCCATACTGCAATACAGCTCCTTCCTAGCCTGTCTGGGAAAGCAGGAGAACTTGGGCCGCCCGTCAGCCACGTGCGAGACCTGCATGGAGCTCCCAGTTCCTGACGAGGACTATTTGGGAGAGTAAATCAGTGAGCAGAAGAACCCTTCCTCTGCAACTGCTTTTCATATAAATAAATGTGGAAAGAGAGAGAGAGAGAAGAAGCGAGACTAAAATAATGTCCCAAAATATTTAGATGGAGTAAAGAAAATTTATGATTACATACCAATGACCATCTTGAAAAAGAAAAGATATCCCCAAATAGCAAGCTGGAACCAAGTTTCCCACACACCAAGAGGAAGCAGCCCTGGTGTTTCCCAGGACACAACTTTGGCCGAATCTTATGAATGAGGACTTTGCATTTCTTTTTACGAATGGCTATGGAAGTCAGCACCAGTCCCTCTGCTAGCTAGCTTCCTCTGGTCCCTGCCCAGCATCTGCACGCCTTTTCCTGACTTAGAACAGGGGAAGGGGGTAACAGAGAATACAGAACTGCAGCACTTGGGCTGTGGGCCAGATGGCTCAGTGCTAATCCCAGCCTTGCCATTTTCTTGCTGTATCACTTAGGGCAGATAGTCTTTGCCTCTCCCATCTGTAAAACGGAAATAACTATAACAACACCTAGCTCACAGAACTGCTTGGAAAATTACATCGCTAACACGTACAGTGTATTCAGCGCAGTGCCTCACACATGCAAAAGTGTTGCCTTATTAACTTTGGGACTCAGGGTGACCCTGATCTCACACAGCTATGGCAGGGAAGGAAGAAAGCTCCCCGAGTTTCTGGGACAACAGAAGAAGGAACACAGTACTTTAGGAGAATCTGGGTCGGAGTTTCAAAAACTAAGGCAGGGCTAGAAACCCAGGGACAGAGAGATCTCTTTGCAGGTTTCTGGGAGTGGTCTAAAGCATAACATTTCAACCCTTGCACAAAGCTAGGGCTGAATATGGGAACTAGGTGGAGGCAAAACCACCAGACCCTAGAGATGATGACTGAACAATGATCTTCAAGTCATTTATTACAATATACAAATCATTTATTTTTTTAAAAAGTTTTATTTATTTATTGGAAAGTCAGATATACAGAGAAGAGACAGAGAGGAAGATCTTCCATCTGATGATTCACTCCCCAAGTGAGCTGCAACGGCCGATGCTATGCCGATCCAAAGCCAGGACCAAGGAACTTCTTCTGGGTATCCCACACGGGTGCAGGGTCCCAAGGTTTTGGGCCGTCCTTGACTGCTTTCCCAGGCCACAAGCAGGGAGCTGGATGGGAAGTGGAGCTGCCGGGATTAGAACCGGGATCCCGGTGTGTTCAAGGCAAGGACTTTTGCCGCTAGGCCATGCGACCAGGCCCCCAAATCATTTATTATTTCTATTATTATTATTATTATCATTTTACTTGCATGTTTCAGAGAATAGTAGAACAATAAATAGGAAGAACCCATCTGACAGGAGAAAGATTATAAACTGTATGGTAAATCAGAGCCTAATAATGTCTACGCTGTAAGAGATCAGAGGTACCCAACTGATTGTCACACATTTGAAAAAGAAATGTAACTCAATAGATTTGTTTTATCTTTCTCACTGTGCATGTGTGCATGCTTTTGAGTGGCAGAAATGATTTGTTTTCTCCAAATGAAATCATTCATGATTTCCTAATACCTAAGAACATGGAGA